AGACGAGGAAAGCCTAATGCCATTTATAGTGACAATGGGACGAATTTCATTGGTGCTAACAAGGAGCTGCGTCAACTGGTTCTTTCTTCTAAGCATAACAGCATAGTTGGAGCATCTTTACAGCAAGATCAAATCGAATGGCATTTCATGCCCCAAAAGGCAAGCCACTTTGGAGGTCTGTGGGAAGCTGGAGTTAAAAGTGTCAAGCATCACCTACGTCGAATTGTTGGAAATGTCGCCTTAACATTTGAGGAAATGAGCACCATCCTATGCCAGATTGAAGCATGTTTAAATTCTCGTCCTCTGACATCGATGTCAACAGACCCCTCGGACCTACAGCCTTTGACGCCTGGGCATTTTCTAATTGGTGCACCTCTCAACGAATTACCTGAATATGATGTATCCGATGTGAAAGTCAACAGATTAAACCGATGGCAGCACCTACAACAACTTCACCAACACTTCTGGAAGAGATGGAATAGCGAGTACTTACTTAGTCTACAGCAGCGACCTAAGTGGAGAAAAGAAAGAAGGAACCTGATGATTAACGACCTGGTAGTACTGAAGGATGAGAACATGCAACCAACCAAGTGGCTCATGGGAAGAGTCAAGGAAGTCCATGAAGGAAAAGATGGTAGATGTCGAGTTGTAACAGTAAAGACCACTAATGGAGTGCTAAAGAGACCTATTACAAAGCTGGTGTTGCTCTTGGGGCAAGATGAGTAATACATTCAAGGACATTATATCTATCAATAGACTTTAAGCATTTATGAACTTCTTTTCTTGCTTTAAAATTTTGTTTGAAGCCTTAGTACTTCATGGCGGGGGATATGTTAAGTACCCTGCACGTGTTTATTTAAGTGAGCATAGTCATGGGGTTGTATGAATAGAGTGATGTAACCTCGAATAACGAATACTGTAGTATAAATAGAAGCAATAGGCTTTCTAGTAATCTGTGAAATGAAACGAACCGAACCGAACCGAATAAAGAAGTTAAGTCGAGATTGGATCTTTTCTGAACGATATAAACAATTAATGTTACCAAAAAAAGATCCCTAATATGGTTATTATAAACATTGTAAAGCAAAAACTAATACCCGTAAAATATTTTTTTTTAATTTAAAAGACTAATGTTTGTTTATAACAAACTGGTAATTCTTTGATTAACTGGTGATATAAAAAAATTAAAAAAAATTATCGTTAGATGTGATCTATGCGGTGGGAAGTACAGTTCACGTCATTATCTCAGAATTCACAAACAGAATATGCATAATCCAAATGGTACAGATGGTCGAAAAAAGTTTACATGTCATCAATGCCATACAAGTTATTCTTTTAAATCTAATCTCTACCGCCACGTCGATCAAGAATGTACACAGAGGGCCAGACAGTATAACCTGCCAATGTGAGGAATGTGGAAGACATTTTCATTCACGACAAGGACTTAATTTACACAGAACCAATCTACATAATACAGAGGGTCGAAAAGAATTTACATGTACTGATTGAGGTTTAAAGTACTATAACGAATCAAATCTTAAGCGACACATACAGAATGCACATGTATCAAATTGTTACATACAAGAGCACCCATGCGAAATCTGTGGTATCCGTTTTACTTATAAAGAAGTAGATCGAAGTAAAAGCTGCGCTACCATTATTTAGAGCAACAAGAATCTGTTGAACTAGAGCCGATTGGTCCGTCATGATGTTCTCCGGGTAGATAAAAGAAAATACTTTCTTCCTCCATCTCCACTCGACCTTTTGATACCTCTTCCAAGACCAGCATTCCTTGCTTTAAAGCTTGAAATGAAACCTCTTTTTCTTTGGAGTTTTTATATCGAACCTTTGCAAAATTTCAGGCAGATATTAATATATTCAACTCATCTATAGCCTCCTTAAAAATTTCCTTGATCAAATCAAACTTTTCATATTGATTATGAAAAGCAAAACGGTGTGGATGCTTCAAATCTTCACCTGATGATCTCAACTTTGAAGCTATACGAATCAAATTCTCTGATAAATCTTCCTGACATTTCTCCATTTTATATTCACCTGACATTCTTCTACAAAAAAATATAAATTTAACTTTTAAATTAGGGATTCCCTACTGTATGCTAATATCCCCTTTTCGAAATCTGCGGTTCTTTTTGGGGATTGCCCACAAATTGCAACCGGAAGCCCGCTAGAAACTTCAAAATATCACTTCCCTTTTTTTCAATCATGCCCAAAATACGATGCCCAAAAACATTTCTACACTGTACCCCCATATTGTCCTTCCTATACTACTAGGGTACCTACATAAAGAAAGTCATGTGAAGTTTTCCAAAAGAAAAAAAAAAGAAAAGAAAAGTAAATTTTAAATAAATTTCTTCCACCACCCAGACATAAAAAGAGGCCGAGTAATGTAACATACATTCACACACACAAAAAAAAACTGTGATGAAACATATCTGCACTGAGGAGTTTTGGTATCGGCTCTACTTTGTCACAGCAGGTTACCCACAACAAGAAAAAATGCTTGAATTACTTGATACAATAGCAAGGATATAAAGACTGTTACGGAGCATTCTAAGGGCTAAAAAAAGGACTGCATTATAGTCTTGCAACGGTTAAATAATTTGAATTGTTGCAGTTAATAGAAACGCTGTGTCTATATGGCCGGTTACCGGTCAAGGTCTTGAAAATGCTAAATGGCCGGCAGCCCATAAAATGTGTTTTTTCCCTCTCTAATTATCTAAACGAGCTTCCAAACTCCAAAATAAAACTCTACGAGTAAAATGAGTGTGTTAAAACTTACTTAAACGTCGCGCCGAAATTCGTTGCACTTAGAGACATTGTGCGAACTCGAACCGACTGCCGGTCACGCAACAACGAAATCCTAAATGGCCGGCAGCCCATACAATAACA